TCTAATGGACAAAAATCCTACCCTGGAAGAATAACCTGTTACAGGTTTAAAGAAAAACTTTCAGAAGAATAACCCCAAATTCCCATGTATATATCCAACGCCCGACTTTCAAAGCTCAAGTTATTCCTGGCATAGAATATACACCAAAGATGAAAGGGATTTACCGGTACAGGTTTATAAGATGATATAAACTACATAAAAGAGCTAAAACAATTTTTTATATCACCGCCCCCCCCCCCCAAAAAAAAGACCAGACGCAGATCCCCTACCATGCAAACCTAATATTTCGTCAACTAACCTAATATTACGTTTTAAATATATTTAATATATTGGCCCCCAGGCAATGCATTTTATGAATACTGATCTTTTGTAAGTCTTCTATATTATTTTATGTGAAACCTTTAATAAATTTAACAACCAAGTGCATTGTGCATTCCCTGTCACATAAATCATAACAATGATTAGTTTACACTGTAAAGTGTTTCATACCGGTACTCAATATGATGATAAACCCCGGTGTAAATAACGGATATAATCTATATCCGAATTACAGTCAAATTATAATTAATTGCACCCAAACTAGAATACTACTTTTAAAATACCAAACATTAAACCACGCGTAAATTGGATTTCGAAACATTAATCCAGCTAGTCTGTAAATAGAAAGAACAACTGGTAGGATTTTTCTAATATATATTTAAATTTGTTCACGTATATTACAAGATCATCAACCGACTTTGAAATTGATGTCATTGACAACAAATAATGATGCGCCCTAAAATTAATAAAAATTGTATGTGACATTTCCGTCATATTGCATATTTGTATTCTGAATAATGTATTCTTTATATAATATCCCCATTAATGATAGTAACACTTTAAAAGAAAAAAATATAAAGATTTCTGGGAGTTAAGTAATCTGTTTAGGAGTAAGAAAGTTGTGTTCTTTGATTCAAAGGTGGGCACATACAACCCAGTATGCATTTCTATGTTTTCTTGTTTTTCTCAAAAATGCTATTTGTCATTAGATAATTGACATTTTTCTCCGTAATTCAAGACGATCGCCGAGTATCTCCACCTCGCTCATATCCATTCAATAAAACTGCATGTTACGGTGACATTTTCTGCTGGTCATTCACATGGCACAGTTAGAGAGAAAAAAAAATTGGGCTTAGCGTTTGCTCGATACAAACAAGGTCATTTCGGGTCTAACATATGGTACAATTTTATTTTGATAACCTCTCCCGCGTAAGGCTCTTTACTGGACCGTGAGAAAACCCGCGAGGTTGGCCAGACGACCCCCTGTCACTTTCGAGCTTGGGATCGAAACCACTTCATTCAATGATTCTAAGCCTCCCTCAACACAGCACAACTACTTCAATGTAATAGTACGAGTAAGTGATATGACTCTTGGCCACAATTTGAAAACTTTATATTTTTTTATATATATATTATTTTGAACTGCACTTTTTTCTGAATTTTTATCACGTTTTGCGTATTTCATCACAATTACGCGAAAGACAAACTGTAGGCGGCCATTATTTGTCACTGGTAATGGTACAGGACGAATGGGCGAAACATTGGACAAAAAATCGACGTCCAGCTTACACTGGGCAATTGGAATTCAAAAAGACAAAAAAGCCCATCATAGCACACTGCATGTCGTATGCCCGTCATCATTAGACCGGCTGGCAGTCAATAGGGCGTAAATCCAGTTTCATTTACCATACATACAATCTTCCTTGCTGGGATAATGCATAATGCATAATACTTATGCCGTCTATCACCATGCCCAATCCCTCTTTGGATGGTGCTGAGCAACGAGGCAGTATTAGAAAACTCTGGGAGGATTAATATTCATCGGGGGTCGTTCAGGTCTGGCTGATTAGTCGGTCAGGATTGGCTTAAACTTAGCAAACACGTGTGATCTCATCTTCTTTTCATACTATTATCATTATAATAAACGAACAGACAATTAAGTTTTTCGTATCGTGTGTATACGTAATATCTTTATGTATATGAGATGCTATTATTCCTCACTACAGATACGACAATTTTTTTAAAAATGTATTGGAAAGAAAAAGCTTTCGACATATCTGATTATTCTTATGTGATCATTCTCTTTATATACTGCTGAGCGTGTTACACCAATGATCAGTCAGTGAGTGATACGACGAATTGGACAAATCATAATGGCCAAATAGTAAATTTGACCTTATGATTTGTCCATATCGTCGTATCACTGACTGATCATTAGTGTAACATGCTCAGTATGCTCTTAATAGTCAGATGTAAATGACTCATTTGGTTCTATTTCCATTCTTTAATGTTGATATTCCCCAGTATTTTTGGAAAGCAATCATAAGTGTAGTTAAACTAAACTTAGCAATTTAGTTATTTTTTTGTGCACTTGTGTTCAATACCGTTTTAATTATTACTAGTAAGTGTTTAGTACATGTTTGGTTTTACATAGTTCCCCAAAACAACGCTATCTATAATATGTGACTTTCCTGCTTTCGGAATTGGCAATGTATTACACGTTTAAGAAGCACAATCACGTCCCTCCCCTCCGCAACTTATCAGTATGGCCACTGTTTGTATGATTTTGAAGAGGGCCCTTGAATTTTAGATGGCTCCGAAAAACATCAAAGTTTTAATTGAAAATGGGGTAGTATGTGGATAATAGGTACATAAAACATTAAATCACACAGTAAATACCAACACACTATACAAGCTTTAAGTTGTCCTAGTATCGTTTTATGGGGAACACCGCAAAGATATGGAGCGAAATTTATGTAATGATTTTGCTAATTATGCTTACTTCACTACATGCATATGGTAAATTGGCTATTTGCGCATTATTTTATATTATATATTTTATTAAAAATCATAGACTGAATTTGTATTTGGCTCTGTTTCCTTCTTTACTTTTGATTTATTGTTGTATTATTTTTATATTAAAGCAGATTGTAGTCTAGCTGTTTTATTTCTAAAGAGAAGATGAAAACTACTTAGTTCTGAAATGAAATGGGGCTTAATTACCTACTTCCGGGCTATTGAATACGAGACACCATTCTAACACAGTGGGTATATAAAATCTCGTACTTTTCATAACCCAACATGACGCCTGTTATTGCCCTTTCCTCTTTTTACAACATACAAAAATACAAGCAGTATAGTAGGAACACATTACATCATGGGAGAAGCTGAATAAATAAATAAATAAATATAAACAAGATTGGTTATAAAGTAATTTGGGAACGATGTTGATTAATTTTACATATTTAAGTCACTTAAAATAATGAAATAAAGTATTTTGGATATCATTAAATTAACCTAATAAATAGACAGACAATCGTGTTAAAAACCGCCGATTCACCACTTTGCGTCAGAACGCCCCTTCAGCAGTGGTAGGATGAGTACATATGTACTGGGGATAGTTTGAATACACAAATGTCCTACTTCCCGGCTAGATACACAATTAAATACATACGTTCTTGTATCTATTTACATAGGTTTTACCAATCTTATCACCCCGAATATATTTCTATATTATTAATTAAAGTAGATAAGTAGTAGCCATTAGTGGTTATACATGGTATTAATTACAAGGTATATTAAGCACACATTCCAGGTAATAAACCAACGGTGATCTTTGGATCTATAAAATACCGGATTATTTTTAACTTTGTAATTAATCTAAAATCCATAATTTGGTGGGTCTTTAAATCTTTATTTCATTTGGTAGGCAGATATGTTTTTTTTAATCCATATCCACATTTAAAGTAAATTTATAATTATAAATTTTATATTTGAGATTCGGTCACTGATTTAAAAAAAAATCTTTTTAAAAACAATAATCACTGCAGTATTACTGAACAACGAAAAACAGACATAACAAATTGTATACATGTGTATAGAATTATAGCGGAGATCGTAAAGTGTAGATATCCAAGAGAATATAAACATTGAGCAGTCCGAAATATCTGACCTGTTCTGAGTCTCTGATAGCTTCTTACGACTGATATCGGGGAGCCACGGTGGCTAGGTGGGTAAGGCGCTGGTTCGCTAGCCTGGAGGTCGGGTGTTCGATCCCTGCATTGGCCGAGAAAGTTCATCCCGATTTTCCGACGTGGTTTCCCCATGTCAGTGATGCAGGACGGAGGGCCTGACAAGGACAGCTGTCTAGTCTTTCGGATGAGACGAAAAACCGAGGTCCCGTGTAAACATTGGAATACACGTAAAAGATCCCTTGGCAGTTGGAATTCGATATAAGAGTAGGCGATAGTGCCGCTGCCCGGGAAAAATTTCCCTCATAGCACACTGTTTTTTCTTATGCCCGTCTTCATTAGCCCAGTATAGGAGCATTTCATTTCGACTGATATCGGCCATCAGATGATTTTGACGTTATTTATTAGATGAATCCTGTCACAGCGCTCTTCGAATGACGTTTTTTTTACGGTTACTCGCGTGTGACTCTACACGAATCAATACCATAAAACAATTTCCGAATGCATGGTCAATATCTGAAATCTCAATCTTGGAAACAAAAACTTTTACTAGAACCTTAAACCTAAAAGTTAAATTTATATCTTCCTTGGAATATATCTTTAATAATGTCTGTCCGATTCATTATTTCCTAAACATCGTTACTCCATAATCTGGCTCACGTTTACAAAGTCTGCTTTTGACCCTTTGAGCAAAGAGCTTCAGAAAACACTATAAATCAACACATGCCAAATGCATAGTCAAATGCGCATGGCATTTTTTCTTGAAGATATAGTGTGTTACTTGGTCTTTAAGTTTGTTATCACGCCATTATTATGTTTAAAAATCTAAAATTAGACGTACTACGTCTCCAGGTACTACTGATACAAGGTCGTTGCAACACGAACAACATTTGAAAAAACAAGCAAGTCAGGCTGCGCATCTATTATCTTCGGTATGACGTGATGTCTAAAACCAGTTATGTCAACAAAAGTTTTGAATAAAACAAGCAGCTACCTTAAAAAATCGAACACACTAATTGTAAGATTTTATGTGACGTTTGGTTAATCACACAGCAGGAAACATCTGAGAAGGAAGATATCAAGCCACTAATCATTGAGCAATGGAGAAAGAGGTTTTGTTATTTGTGTAGGAATCGTTATGCAGAGTTGCAATTATTTTGTACGAGTAAATGTTTAGAAATGGGCTTTTTCAACATGTCTTTTTATCGGAGGGAACAAAAAAGAAATAATAAGTTCATATTATAACAAAAGATGAACAATTTTAAAAACGGTAAACAGTACCTCTGTGAGGTGAAGGGAAAGGAGAGTGGCGTATAATATGCCTCAATCTTATTTTTAAATTCTTTGGAACAGGAATGAAAAAAACATTCTTAAATCGAACGGAAACTGTCTTCTTGAAAAAAAAAATAGCCGCCATGATACAAATAATAGTATTGTTTACATAGACCACTTGTTATCAGTAACATTTATATCTGCTCCAGTAGAATTAGATAATTTCACTTAACGCTCTTAAGGTGAAGTGTGCAACAACAGTTCTGAACAATTCATCCTTGATGAAAGTGGTGTGAATACTAATTTTAACAGAGTGGAGTTTTAAAGAGTGCAAATTCTTGGACAGCGAAGACATAAAACTTAGTTACGAATTTTTGTTTTGTCATTTGAATACAATAATGACTAAACAGGAGGTTAAAGGTAAGATATTATTATGAACATTATAATACATTGAGATATTTTTCTTGGGAGTGTGGGAGGGTGTGTGTGTGTGTTGGGTGTGGAGTATAGCGGCTAAGGATAAACTTAACATAAGAATATAGAAGAATATAGCGTATTGCCTTATTTTTTTATTAGTACCAGAATCTTATTGAACTACTTTGTTTTGTAACCTTTAAGGGGATGTATTGAGGGATGTTGCCGTAGCTTTTGGTTTAGCATGGTATTGGGTATTAATCAAGGGAACTTACTTTTAAGGGAATAATTACAGAAATTAAATAGTTAATGGTGTTAGGAATCTGATCTGCACAGTTACGAATTACGCTGATACGTACAGATGGTCGGTCTATGTCTTGAAGAACAATGTCCACAAACAATAACAGCATGGGAAAAATAATTATCTATAAAAACGAACAGTCTTTTAAAAAAGACATAGTTAACGTTACATGGCCGGATTGGCCTATTTCCTTCCGCTAAAACGATGTACATGTATTTGTTTTATTCATAAAACGAGTCCAACCGGATGCTTTCCGCCACCAGTGACTTTGAAGTTACCATAAATAATTGCGTTTGCATACTTTTAATATATTTTAGTTCATTTTAAAATATTTAAAATAGCACAGATCTCATAATAGTTCATTTTAAAGTATTTAAAAACTATATTTCTTTTAGCATTAATGATTCCCCAGTAAAATCCAATGTTTCACGTGTAGAGAATTTATGTTCCTAAATTCTTTATATAACTCCCATTTTCAAATCGCTATTCTTAATTGTTAAAAATTCTAGAATTTTATAGCTCCATCCTTTAAGATACGTGCTTATTTAAAACATTGTATGTTTTTTTTTAATATTTTAGAAAAACATGAAAAATTGGATAGCAACAAGCCGCCACCCCTGGATCATGAAATTAAGGAATCCTGTACTGAAAAATTTACATCATGTCGATGGATGATTGGCTACATGTGCTGTGCAGCACGATTCAGCCAATCAGCTATTCGACAACTCATCGGTATGGCCACCGTGTGTATGACCTTGCAGAGGGCCGTTGAATATCAGGTGACCCCGAAAGACATGGAAGAATTCCATCCAAATGTTAGCCTGAATGCATCAAAATTAGTTGAGAAGGAGGTATAGTGTTTTGAAATTTCTATAATAAACAAGCCAACATCGAGGCTGATGTCCCCGGCCAAAATCCCAAAATAAACAGATAACACATATTGATTAACTGAACATTTATCTTTTTCAAAGGTATTGAATAATCAAACTGATTATCTATAACTTTTTGAAGAACCTGGTAGTGAAAATATACATTACCTTTCATTATCTTGTCCCAAAGTTTCGACCAATGAAATTGCTTAGCTCTGCCTAGGTTTAGTGGGAAATGTTAATCATTGAACCCAGTCAAGAAATTCACCTAATGAACATCTACATCAAGTTTAAACATTCTACCTTTGTTATGTTCCAAAGTCTTGACCAATTAAATTGCTTATCGCTACTTAGCCTAAGCAGAAAATGCACATTATCGTACTTAATCAAGGTATTGATGTAAAGAAATTATACTCCAAGTTTTATCACTCTCACTTAAGTAGAACCAAAGTTATTGTTTCCCAAAGAATCAACCAATCAAATTGCTTATCTCTGCTTACCCTAAGCAGAAAATGCTCATCTTCGTACTTCATTAAGGCATTCACCTAATAAACGCTTACACCAAGTTTGAACATTCTAGTTCAACTAGAAGGAGAGTTATTGTGTCAGAAAAAGTGTGACGGACAGACAGAAACTGACGCATTTTAATAGTCCCCTTGTTTTCGTCGAAAGGCGGGGACAAAAATATACCAAACTGTATTAAATCACAAATTTAATATCACCGCTAAATATAATCTGTATAAGTGGACCAAGGAGCTGTCCATGGGGAACACCGCGCAGATGTCATTTTACTAACTTATGATTATATTTTGTAACTCACGACTCTTCATATCAAGATGTAAGTAATTGTGCATGTTTATCAAATTATTTACAGCTTTCCACTCTGGAGTTTTGCGAAACATAAATATGGCGGTTTACCATTTATACAGAGAGCAGAGTAGATCGATGGAATTTCATTTAATCATATCTTTCTGAATGCTGATTGGAATCAAAGCATTTTTAAAATATTGCAGTTTGGAACCAAGGGATTCCTATATCGTTCAAATCACGATCAGGGAAAAGTGTATTTACGAAACATTCGCATTCTATGAATATTTTTGAATATATTAAACCATATTTTCAGGAAGAAGATTTTACATGGTCATCAGAATTTGAGGGAACTGTTTTAGCAGCGTTTAATTTTGGTTTTATTGCCTCTCCTATAATCGGGGGATATATTGCCGGATATTTTGGCGGGAAAAGGGTCATCACATTTTCCTTGATTGTCGGGTCTTTGGCAACTGTATTAACTCCGGTAGCAGCACGTGCTGATAAGGCGTTATTGGTGTTCATGAGGGCTGTAGCTGGTTTAGTCATGGTAAAACATTTTTATTATTCGTATAGAAAAGTGTCACTTCTAATTGCATTGGTTCTACTACTGTCATACCTCTATTCATTTCTTGTTTTTTTTAACGTGACAAAATTCATTCTTGTTTCGAGAAGTAGTATTTTATTGGGTTTACTTTAATACATTTATTTGGCTAGCCTATTATGTTCCACACTTATCAACAGTGAATATTCGCTAAGCCGCTAATATCACTGAGAGAGATGACATCTGAAAGCTTACGTTTTACTCGGTTTAATCCAACTCTTTAAAATTTGCAGGGTGCTGTAGATCCAGCTATCCAATCTCTCTGGTCCAAGTGGGCACCCATGTATGAAAAGAGTCAGTTGACAACATGTTCTTATTCAGGTATTATTTCATACAATCGTATTTTGTGCGGAATTTAGATTTGTACATAATACAAGCATCTCGAGTGTTTAAACGGATAAAATTGACAAAATTATAAATCACATTTTATTCCGAATCCACAAATAATTGTGTTATAGGAGTATGCATAAACATGTATATTTTATTCCTTTATATTAAATTATACTAATACCAGTTTACAATTTAAAAATAAACCACGCATATACGTGTAGATATTGATGTCCGTTATGGGGTTAGTAACCACAATCTAACCGTATGGCTTAACTTTTATAGATGTTTATTATATCTTAAAGTAACGATGTATCATTTGCTTTAATCGCTAAAATATAGAAATACTCGCTGCTTAATCCACGCTAATATGTTCCAAGATTATTTAACATTTAATTAAGAAAACAAAATCAAGGGTGACGACAATGTGCGTCTGTTACATTAGAATGTATGTGAATGTATTTGAATGTATATATTTTAAAAAAAAACCCAAAAAACAAACAAACAAAACAACAAAACACCTATAGAGATATGTACGTTTGAAACTGGCTTTAAACCTATGCAGAATTGATTTATTTAAATGGACCAAGCAAGAAATGTACTGGACTTTAGTTTACTCTACAAACATTTGGGGTGTAAGAAATTGAACGGGCGGACGGACTTCCGGACAAAGGCAACAAATTTACAACCAGACTGACGTAAAGGGTATAAAATGTATAGACTGTGATAATCACATGCGATATCGGTGGACGCGGACGTAAAATACAACTAACTCACACACATAATCACATGATGCGAATAAACATTTCCTAATTGCAATAAATCATGGGTTATTCTCACGTTTCCATTGTTATACACTATTGTTAACACTGTGTAAATTTTGTTTGACTGCAGGTTTAAGTATAGCTGGTATAACAACATTTCTTGTATCAGGTTATTTATGTACTATACAACTAGATAATGGTTGGCCTTTTATATTCTATGTATTTGGTAAGTTGTATTATCATGCAAACTTTATAATAACTAAATACAAGCGGCGGGTGTATTCCATACCTTGGCATGGCCCTTATAAAAGAAAAGTAACTCTAACAATGTTCATAGTAGGATTATTTGTATTAAACAACCTGGGTGTGATCATTTTCAACCAAAACAAAATTAGTCATTTTAATTCTATCAATGTTCATAGTGAGCTTAGTAATGTTCTATTTTGTGCGTGACGTCTTCCTGGACACTCATGATGTGTAATTTCCACCCCGGTGACCACAGACGGTTTGGGACATTTCAAAAGGTTCTACTGTGCGTGTTGAAAATGGGCATTTTTATGGCATTCGGAGAGAATATTATAAGCTATGAGTAACTATACAACCTACGTACCAAGTCCAAAATCTATTGTGTTAATGTTCCAAGTCTTCATATTGATCTGCCAGCGCCTGCCCAGAGCCGAGAGGAAAATGAGTTCCCCTTCCTATAACTGAGTCCAGACATGGATATCCCTTCCTTGCCACTAAAGGGCGTATAGCTCTATTTTTTTTACCTTGAAATACACAAAAATGATTTTAAAAGCACATATTAATGTAATATGAATGTATGTTAAGTGATTTTGGAAAAAAAAATATACTGTAATTTCTAATCAATTATGTTCGGTGAAATATGTGAACAGATCTAATTGAACGGCAGTCCTTTACATCGGCTTAGTGCATTCTACACGTTTTTTAAATTATTATTTTGTCGTTTCTGAATTAGCCTTCACTAATTACTTTCAAGTTGTTTTGTAGGATACGTTTTTATTTGTTCATTACAAAAAAGGCACCCGAAACCTTAGGGTACACGACTCGTGTACTGATTATAAAATGTTAAATGTGTCTTAAATAGTGGACATTAAGATCCTATAGTTTCAAAGCAAGATAATAACATCAATATTGATTGATATTGCTCCTAATTCGTGTTTTGATTTCGAATATTATGGAAAATATTGAGTTAGAGACTTAGCTCCTTAAACTACCATACAAGTACACGACTTAGGTTACTTGAGACTCCTTTTTTTTATTTTTCGGTCTCCTAACTAAGTGTGTTATTTGTCCTATAGGTGGATTCTCTCTGCTTCTTGTGTTTCCATGGTTATATTTAGTTTACGATTCACCAGAACAACACCCTCGAATAAAAATGGAGGAGATCAAGTATATAAATCATGGGAAGTCTACGTCCATAAAAAAGGTAAGACGTTTACCGCTCGTTTCTCTCTGGGGAATCACGCGGGCCATTAATCAGTTTGAATTCAGTTCCTAAGCCCTCCTCCAGTGGCTCCTGATTGGATGGATTTGTTTGCATGGAAATGGTAAACTTCTCTCAGGCAGCCGATATTGCAGCAGGGGTGGTCGATGTAATCTGTTATTACACCTGCATTCTAGCAATGTACTTTCAATATGAGTGGTTCCAACCATCGCTGTTCGAGACAAAGTATCTCTTCATTGATGCTCAACGTGAAATCCGGCCAGGTCAACAGAACAGAACCAGGCTCCAGAGATTCCCGACCAATCATTATGAGCAGCGCCATCAACAATTAACCTTTTCGATTAAGCAGGGAACTCTACATTTTCTAAAGCCACACAGTGAATGGATGTCAACCCAATAGTATACTGCTTGGGTGGTGGCCATTTAGATATGATCAAATGAATTTCGGGGCACCTTTCTTAAAGAACAATATGATCTTGGCTTTTATGAGTATAAAATAAAGTTGCTAGACCCAAAGTTGCGACAAACATAGATATTGTTTCATAGACATATTTTGATAACCTAATAAAATTTCTGTTCTTAATCTATAAAGTATTTTCCCTCACTAATCGAATCAATCAATTGTTATCTTACAGTAGATAATTTCTCATTTCAGTCCATTCATCCACCATGGCCTAAAATTTTAACGTCTCTTCCATTTTGGGCCATTGTCGTGGCTCATATTACCTACACATGGGTAACGTCATGGGTGCTTGCCTATCTACCAAAGTATTTAAACAACATTCTTAAATTTAATGTTGAAGAGGTAAGTTTGATATTATTTCTACTGACTTTCCCTCTCACCATAAAGATTTAATGTTTTATACATATTTAAAGATGTAATATGTAAGATTTAGATAAGAACTGACTGGTCGTTCTTGCTATAATAGTTCAAAAATAGATAATAAAAATGAACATAATTATTTTGAAAATTTCTTTCGAAGTTAGGACGATTTGGAGATGTAGCTTAGATCGTTTATTATCGCAGCAACAATACTTAATAACCGAGACTATTTTATCGTTATGTTTTTTGTAATCTCACGGCGAACAAATCCGTTTAAATCTCGGCCATCCGATAAACATGAGAGTTTATTATAGGTTTGCCATGTGAATATGTACTACTCGTAGACCGAAAGTGAAAATGTCCGTATCTTAATATTGGATTAGCTGATTTGCCTCAAATCTTGCATACATCCATCATACATCTGTTTGATCCAGTTACCTTCAATTGAAAATTATTTTCTTTAAAATGTAGCAGTGATGTCTCTTTAACTATCCACTGTAACGTAAACAAGCATATCTTCATTTCATCATTAAATAGATTTTCACAATTCAACTGGGCTACTGCATATTTCTATGTTACAATTCCATGCTTTACATACTTAGTAACATTAGACAAAATTACATCCATGTAATGCTTAAGGTGCTAGCTCATTTACAAGGAGGTATTGGCCCAGAGAGTTCCTCGGGATTATTTAAAGCGATTTCCCCATGGTGACGGTGAAGGACAGGGGCAATCAACAGCACCTAGTCGTTAGAATGGGAGAATAAATCAGGACTCCGTTTTGGTGTGCATGTAAATGAACTCGTGATAGCGGCAAAAGTTCATTACAGCACACTGCATGGCTTATGTCCGTCTTCATTAACCCGGTTGGTATAGGACGGTAAAACAATTCCTCGGATACTATTTTCACGTATTATATATCTTTATTTTTGTATTGTTTACAGGATGGAATCGTCTCATCCATACCATTTGTTGGGCGTCTAGTATCGGGCGCTGTATGTGGCTACCTATCGGATTGGTTACAAAAGAAACGGTATTTTACAACTGTAACTGTCCGAAAAATATTCCAGTCAATTGGTTTGTACACCTGTATTACATTATTGCAGCTTACTGTCCTATTGTTCATTCTAGCATTCACTTGGTAACTCACATCACTAAAGAATCGTGCTAACATCTGAATTCATGAAACATATATTCCGGGAGAGAAATGGAGTTTAACGTCCACTCCACACAAACTAGGTCATTTCGGGACTAACAATTTTATTTCAATAAATCGCCTTTGCGTAGGGGTCATTGGCAGTGGGAGGAAACCCACGAGGATGGACAGGGGACCCTACTACTTGTCGCGTACAAGTGGGGAATCGAAATCACGCCACTTGACTCATTAACAGACCGCCAGACCCTTAACCATTCACCCGCATCTACATAAATGTTTTAAAAGGCTTGCTTCAAAATTTGGTTACCGTAATTAAGCTCACATCTCACTATTGACAAATGTAAAGGCAGGAGGAAAAGTTTCAGCGTTTGAATATGTCTATATTGAATAGGATGCATACGGTACTGCCATCTCGAGTGTTATTATTCAAAATGTTGATTTAAATGGATGCGAAACCTCATTTCCCCGCTTTCACAATCTACGTACGTAGTCTTTAGCTTTGCAACACTTTAATGATACCTATCCTCACGATATTAGATTCAAGAAATCAAAGGTGTTCATTTTACGTTTTAACTCAACAAGAACTGGCAAAATGTAACCATTAAGAGGCGTCACACGGTCGTTTTTTTTCTATTGCGCCTTTCTAGTAAATCATTGTTTATTTTCATTTTGAGTGAACCCTGATTTGATATCTGTTGTTTATTGCTTGCAAAATCTATGTAGTTTGTGTCTTGCGCGTAGTGCGGTCCTCCTGCATTGACTATTATAGGAGTGTTTATAGTGGCTAGTGATTTTTTAAAAACTATAACTGTATTACAAGGTTTTGTTTACATGTAGTGTGGTCCTCTTGCATTTACTATTATAGGAGTGTCTAATGCTCCTTGTTTATACTATAATTTAATTACCAGGTTGTGTGGGATGTGCTGGCTGTATGATTGGTATCAGTTTTCTAGATCACAACAACCGAATCCTGGCCGTGTGTTTATTGATATTGGGATTAACCTTCCAGAATTTTACCTCCGTCGCTTTCCGTATAAACCATCTAGATATAGCTCCTAGGTAAGTAAAAACAAGGTTAAGCTACCTTTGATCTGGCAAGGTTCTGGTACCGTGATACAATCTTGTCTATTTGTTTTGGGAGGACCCAACAGTAGCCTAACCAGACATCAGAAGATCTACAGGAATATACAAGTGCAAATTTATGAGTAAATAAGATTTCCATAAGAAACTTTTGATTTTGAATCATTATCCCCAAAGGGACGTGGTGGTAACCAAAGGGTTGATTGTACGGGTTTTGCTGTGGATCATATGTTTTGCATATTTAAATACTTAGTTTCGGTGTCTGCATGAACTTCGAAAAAAAGCAGTGAATGTTCTGAAAATGATTAAAATTGAAAGTAATGGTGTTTAACGACCTACTTTTCTGCACCGATTGGGATAATCAAGACTGGCATACGCCATGCAGTGTGCTTTGAGTGAAATTCATCTATCGTATTCCAAGGATTCTTATACTTGCACCCCAATGTGTACACGGAACCTCGATGTTTCGTTAACCACGACAAACGAGAGGAGACATCGGGTATTCTAGAAATAATAATCACACCCTGGCTCTTACTTTGGTTTCATTAAAAGTAATAACTGATTCTACTATTTTATATAATTAGGTATGCTGGTGTATTGATGGGTGTAACGACAACGGTAGCAATGTCTGCAGGTCTCTCGGCTCCTTTTATAACATCAGCTTTAATAGAAGAGGTAAGCTATATAAGTAGGTTGATAGCAAGAATCAAAATATCCTGCCTCGTGCACGACACCCATCGCTTGGAATACTAATTAATTGCTAAACTCAAAGCAAGTATTCATCCATTATGCTTACACATGTTTAAACCATAGTCTTCGGCTTTCACAGTGTAGACCACACATTGGTTCAACAATGCCACTCAGAAGGAATAATTTTAAGGTAACAGGTTCGCGTTATCTTTTAATTTGCGCTTGCCTATAACGAATATTATGTTTCATTCCAGGACACTGCTGAAGAGTGGAAGGAAGTTTTTTGGATTGTAGCCGCACTGAACGTTGTTGGGGCAATAATCTTCGCAATATTTGCCAAAGGGGAAATCCAGCCGTGGGCCATAGAGAGCATTGTTAAGGTCATCGATCCACCAATCGACGAATCGGTTGTAAAGGGACTAGATGTTAAATCGGACTTGCCAACTTATATTGACGTGGTTTCGGATAATGGTGTCGTGAATCCGGCATTTACTATCAAAGATGAAAATTTAAATCAAGGCCATAACGTATCGGACTTTTACGAAGAGAGCAGTACAAAGCTCTAAGATTCTGTCACATCATGTCAATGGCATTTAGATGATGCACTGGCATAGGAGGCCTAACCAAGGTCGCATGGAAAGGGTTATGGCGGCTATTTGTCGATCTCAATAGATCAAGATATGCTGTGATAGTTTTTAAGTATTGGCGGCTTTTATTTCACCAAGCCAATAAGCATAAATACAATAGGTCCCGGGTGTCTCATAATGTAATTTATAAAGGGCATCTTATTGTTGGGGGAAAACCTAGAGCTGATCAATTAATATTCCTAAGAACTTTATGTTTCTTATGTAAATGCGTCTAAAGACATTACACTTAAAAAATAAATTCATTTGGAATATTAAAGGACAATATTGGTGTCAGTCATTATCACATATGTGATAGAATTTGTTAAACACGTTCCAAATATAATTTTTAACACAGAGATCATTGCTACGATAGATGCGTAGTGAAGGTTTCTACAAAAGGAAGTGACGAACGCAAAAGGAAAACTAGAGTCACCCTTCTATATAACTGACTGAAGTGACAAGTGGTAACAGATACACTGGTGACCAAAAGTTATTATGTGAGACTGTGAAAAGATATCTGACAATTCGAAAAAGTAATTGAATGTCATTAGATAAGAGAAAATGAGAAAAATTGATATAGTCCGTACATTCACTTGTTTTTATTCATTCTATACTTAATAAAAACATGGTAATGCACGGAATTTTTCTTTATTTTTTCGTTTTCTCTTTTCTAGTGACAGTCAATTTCTGTTTTGAATCGTCAGATATCCCCTCAGTCTCATATAACAACTTTTGGTCTTCGAAGGAATTATTAGTGAACAGTAATTCGCCCGTGTATCTGTTATCACTTGTCACTTCAGTCAGTTATATAGAAGGATAACTCGTGTTTTCCTTTTGCGTTCGTCAATTTCGTTTGTTGTAACCTTGATTTCGCATCTATCGTAGCAATGGCCACTGTGTTAAAATTATATTTGGAACGTGTTAAACCAGTTTTATAACATGTGTGATAATGACTGACACCAATATGGTCCTTTAAATTCCGTGGTATAATGTTAAAAGGGAGACTACTCCATCAGAAAGTTAATATTGTTTGCCATCACAGCAATCTGATTCAAACACAGATCCTATTTCGTTTCGTTTTTATAGTTCAAAATTTCGTTTTACTTGTCTTTACTACACTAGGATCTGGAAGAGTTGTTATATAACCCGCGTTCTTATTGATGTGAGGGATTAGCCAATGAAACGGTCTGTTACGGCGAATTTTTAGCGTGAGTTGCATGGAACTGTGGATAACCCACTAGACACGTCACCAAAGCTGATTGTTTAATCAAATGGCTATCGCCATAGGATGAAAAGCCACGTGTATGACCTCTGACGCGGCCTTCCAGTACAACCGATCAGATCTTCATGTAGTAGAGACCATCGAAAGTATAAAAAACGAAACGAAATATAGATCTGTATTTTAATCAGATTGCCATCACAGAAATTCCAAATTCAACCTGCTGGTAGACCTGTTGATAGTGGCAATATTCTTCGGTGACGGATAAAAATCTGACATCAAATAGACTTATAAACTTTAATTCCCACAGACTTACCCAGTGCTTATGATGTAATCGATATGAAACCGGTGAAATTATAAATATTCGTTATTGTACTTAATTCTTTTATGAAAATAAAATAACATATTTCCAAGATGGTCGCTGTGTGGACATTGTGGTGAAGAGGATCTAGAGTCATTGATAAAACGATTCTTTGCCTATGACATTGTCCATAACCACAACGAATCTAACATGTCACAATTATCTGATAGTCAATGGTAAAGAAGGTTAACCAACTCAACCATTTCGTACGTGAGGTGAAAGAAACAAAATCATTGGGGGTTAAATCTGGAAATCGTGTTTTATGCCAGACATTCTGTCCCGCATCACTGAAGCCAGACTGGAAATGACACAACATATGTCAATATGATCCAACTGTTGATTAAACTGTCCAATAACTGGGAGTATGTCCAGACATATATATTCCAGAAGAATTGAAGATGAAGATCAGTGCGCATTGTTCGTGGCACCTTGTATGAGATTAAAGATGTATTATGTATAATTTAGATAAAGAGTTGAAGGTTCTTGCGACAATAATTCAAAAAAAAAATGAAAAATGAATATATTGTAAATTTTATTAAAATTATTTTATTTTGAGAGAAGTTATGACTGTTTCAAGATATAGCATAGATCGTTCATTATCGTAGCAACGGTATTTGACAATATAAACTTAGACCCGAAGGCTCTTTTTATCCTTAAATTTATGAATCACGCGGATGTTTACGTCCATTTACTTCTCAGCCATCCGATGATCTAGACTATAGTCTTGTCATGTTAATCAATGTCTTAATACTAATTCATATAACATTTGAAGACAAAAAGAAAGACATGCAATAGACAGATTTTATAGAAGACAATACCGTATGGGATTTTTTGTCTGAAAAAAAGTGGTTGCTAGAGAGAGAGAGAGAGAGAAAGAGAGATGGGGTTTAACGTCCACTCGACACAAACTAGGTCATTTTGGGACTAACATATGGTTTCATTTTATTCCAATAATTCGCTTGCGCGTAGGGGTCTTTAGCAGTGGGAGGAAACCGGGGGACCCGGAGAAAAGCCATGAAGTTGGACAGGCGACCCTACTCCTTGTCACGTACAACCGGGGAATCGAAACCACGTCAGTTGACTGAATGACAGACCTTATAATATAGCGCGCACGTGCTAACCATTCGGCCATCCAACCCCCGCTTTGCTTCAAATAAAAAGATAGATTGCTAGGCAAGAAGACATCATATTTCTATTGACTTCTGATACTGTGTATAAATATAAGTCAATTGAATTATAACTTTGGCCTGCAGAACAACCAAAAGGTTTTTCAAAGTGATCAAGGACCATAACTCTGGCAGTAATTATCAGAAATCGTTGAGAAACAATAGGGGTCTTCGTCTCATGACCTTAATCACGCACGGTCTATAAATTATCAATCGGATGATAACGTTCGTCTCCAGAGCATCCACAAGATGTTTCAAAGTTATCAAGGTATATAACTTTGGATATTGACTTTCGCCTCTAGAACGTCCAAGAGCAATTGTGGACCCCGGTTCGACGGTTGAATGGACGGATGGTCATGGATAATATACGACCAAATTTCAAAATGGGCGTATAAAAATAAAAACCTTAAGTATGGATGACAAACACTATTGGTTTAGTATTCTTATCCTTCAACTTTCCTTTCAACAGACTCAACACCAATGTGGCAAACCTGAAACTATCTATTGATGATACGTTTGTCAATGAATTAAAAGTTCAACCCGATGACTATACAAAAAAACTTGCGTGTTTTATATTCGGAAGAGCGCCTATAAACACTGGAGCAAAAGCCAGACTATTCAAACAAATGACAGGCGTATAAGTCATCACTTTATTAACCATTATTAAATCATTATCTGAGTTATCAAAGTAATGCCAGCTGTTGAAAAAACTGCAGAAGCTATAACCGTGCAGGCTCTAGTGGTGTCATGTTATAAATTAAATCTAGAATATTACAGATAATACTTTAATAATTTTAAAAGTGAAAGCCTTCAAATTGAATTCTGTATTCATTTAAACTCTCAGAACAATAACAATTATATTACTCCTTCAAAATTTCAATTTTGTGTGTGCTATTCAAAGGTGATTTGCAAGGATGAGGTGTTATATAACGTTAAACATACATTATGCAAGAGCTAAATCTGCCATTTTCAGGTCTTTCTTTAGGCCTCAAATGTTATCTTAATTATTAATTAGACATTAATTAACTTATCCAGACCATAATCAACTCTCGATGGCATCGCTAGCCTGTGATATTTACTGGATTATGATTCCATATGTTTTTTTTATCGTACAGACTTTAGTAATGATGCTCGAGGCGAAATTTCAATCGCTTAAGTCTCGGTTCATAGTGGATCAATTTGACGGAACTTCTCAGCAAATAGCCATTACATTATCTAGTTTTTAAAGGACAATATTGGTGTCAGTCATTAAAAAATATGTGATAGAACTGGTTAAATACATCCCAAATATAATTTTAACACAGAGATCATTGTTACGGGAGATGTGTAACAAGCACGTGAAGAAACGGGAAGTGACGCCAACCATGACAAACACGAGTTATCCTTCTATATAACTGATTGAATTAACGAGCGATAACAGACACGCGATTGAATTTCATTTCACTGATAATTCAGTTGAAGATGAAAAGTTATTATATGAGACGGTGAGAGGATATCGGACAATTCAAAAATACTTATTAGGGAAAACTTGCCGGTTTTAAAAAGAAGTTAATCATAATTGCGTCGTTCGAAGCGTGTGTAGAATTTTCAGTGCAAAGTTATCCTTATTTGAAGAAAATCGGTTAAACTTGAAAGAAAAATAGCTTCAGACTTTGAAATGTTTGTATGATAAAACATTCTTCAAAGGCGTCGTCATGAGCAACGCCGTTGGTAACCCGGGAACTTGAAAGTAATTCCAATGACGGACTTCGTCATACAGCCGAGGCTAGATGAAGGTTACTGGAATCTGTTGAGGTTTGAGGAGTGGATTGGACTATGGCGTTATGACGTCACATTGACGTAATTTGTCAATGTTTTTCTGATTCTTTGGTAGCACTTTCCTATTTACCCGCAATACATTTACACCCTCTGAACTTAACGATTTCCAAGTTATTAGAGTTTTAAGGTTTCCAAGGGCGTCCGTATAGTATTTATACTTATGATTGAACAATGGCGTTATGACGTCACATGGGCGTAATTTGGCAATGTTTTCCTATCTACCCGCAATACATTTACAGCTTCTGAACTCAACCTTTCCCAGTATATTGCAGTTTTAAGGTTCCAATTGCGGCCATATTTAATTTATGCCAATTGTTGGACGTATGACGGTATGACATCACAGGGACGTCATGGGTTATTCCGTTTTAGATTCTTTGGTACCACTTTCATATCTACCCATAATACATTTACACCTTATAAACTCAATCATTCCCGAGATATTTGAGTTTTAAGGTGCCAGTGTCGGACATACTGGATTTATACTAACTACTCAAATCTTTTTTTTTTTGGACGATTTTTGTTTGCGAGACCTTCAGGGACCCCTCTACCAAATTCCGTCGAGAAAAATTCTGTTGCAACTTGTTCTAGGTATCCACTCCATATGGCTTATCTTTACCCTACTAAAGCTTGAACCGTCTGTTTAAAATAAAGAGTTAACAATAAAACTTTATGATGACTGAATAACGTCGTCAAGCAGTAATATTTAATCGGTCGGTGAAACATAACATATATTATTATCTTTTGTTTATATAATGACAAATTAATTAAACAATGAATAAAAGGCATTAGCTTTTTTAGCAATAATAGTTCCGTTCCGTTCCGCAAACAAGCATCTAGTTTAAAGGGGCTAAGTCTCTAACTCAATATTTTCCAGGATACTCGAAACTAAAAAGACGAATTAAAAATCAATATTGACCAATTTCGATCAATTATGATGTTTTTATCTTGCCGTGGATCCTAATATTCAATATTTAAGACTCAATTAACATTTTATAATCAGTACACGAGTTGTGTACCCTATGTTTTCGGGTGCCATTTTGTAATGAACAAAAAAAAACCCATATCCTACAACAATGTGGAAGTAATTAGTAAAGGCTGACCGACAAACGACAAGGTGTATATGGATATAACTACTTCTCAATTATATCCTTAAATGACATTTAGAGGTAGAGGTATAATATTCATAATAACACAACTTTATGGATTTACTACTTCTTGATTTTTTTACATGCAACGTTTCAATACTCTTACAGGTATCTTTATCAAGCAATGAGCAATAATGAATAACAACCTTACATTTATAGTACATCCATGCGTAAGACAATTTAACAATAAAAACATAACATTAATTAAACATACATTATGCAAGAGCTAACTCTGCCCATTGCAGGTCTTTCATTAGGCATGAAATGTCAGCTAAATTATTAATTATCAGACATTAATTAACTTATTCAGACCATATCCAACTATCGATGGCATTGCTAGCCTGCGATGTTTATTGGAATGGATTACGTTCCAATTTGCTGTTCGACTTCCATTCATAATTAAATCAAAAAATGGATAATCGAAACTATGTTTTTTATCCTACCGACTTTAGTAATGATGATCGAGGTTAGCCCCAATATTCAATCGCTAAAATCTCGGTTCATAGTGGGCCTATTTGACTGAAATTTTCAGTAAATTCCCTTTACAATATTTAGTTTTTAACTATTATAGTGAGAACTGCCAGGTCTTTATCGTATAACGGATTACAGCGGGTACTGAAGCCACCACCAAAGCTAAATAATAATCAACACCCTTTTACAGCAATAAATGGTTAGTGTCTTTAAGCATGTCTTCTTAACAATATGGTAATTTAACTAATTTGTATATATTAGGCATAATTAATTAGGGTGATTCCCCTCCCCTCCTTCCTTATGATCATAATCTTACAGCTTTATATACTGTATATGCTTTATTTGATTTACAGCCCATCCAAAGCTACACGATCGCACCACTTGCGCCAGGGTAAATTAGGTAATGATCAGTTCCTACATATTAAATAAATAACCTTGGATCAGATCTGAGCTT